GATTCATGTCGATCGAGTCGACACTGGTTTTTTAATAATTTGTCGATCGATTCACGTTTTCATTTTTCGATCATACCCTCCAACAATTTTTGCTGTGTTCGTTTCATATTCGTCCGATAAAAAAATAAATGAAAGTAAAACACAGAGAGCAAAACTAGTGTCTTATTCGAGAGAGTAATAAAAACGCAGTCAATCAATTTTCTTGTGATTTAAATGCTGAAAATTATCTAACCGCATCTCTCGTCAATTCAGAAAAGATACATACAAATGAGAAAGAAAAGCTGACGTGAAGTTTTTGAGGAGGGGAAAAAATCTGGCTTAAGAAAAAAGTTTAACAGTTAACAGTCTTTACAGTTTGGGAACTTTATTTTAGATTTTTAAAATTAAAAGTTTTTGATTTCAAAAATTTTAACTTTTACATTTTAGAATTAAAATTTTTACTTTTTAAATTTAATAATTTTCATTTTTCAATTTGATTTTTATGTTAATGTTTTACATCATTTCTTCCATTTTTTCAGACTCAATAGATCAATAATGTATATATAGTATAAATATTGTAGTAGTAGGCATGTAGTGAGTAGTATGGTAGGTAAATAAGTATAGTAAGTACAGTAAGTAAGTAAGTATAGTATAAGTTGTAGTAAGTATATAGTTGCGGTAGTAATAATATATATGTATTATTGACCTATTGAGAATGAATAAATTGGAAAAATGATATGTAGCATTAAGATAAAAATAAAATTGAAAACCAAAAATTTTAAAATTTATAAGGTAAAAATTGAAATCCTAAATTTACAATATAAAAAATTTGAAATTAAAAAATTAAAAAATAAATTTTTGAATTGTAGAGTATATAAATTTTAAACCATAAATTTTCTTGCAGTAGAAGTTAAGAATAAGCTATTATACACAGTGTACTCACGGATTAGAACCTGAAGTGTAAGCGACCACTACAACATAACAAAACACAACACCACACAACATTACCGACTGACTGACTGACTGACCCACTGACCTGCTCACCCATGAAATTACTTCGCTTGCTGAAACCAAACTGACTGAAATTTAGGGTTGGGTTTGCCCTTTTATAATCTCGTAAACTGCTGGCCTGAAGCCAGCACAAACAATCCCCCCCCCCTGGCTGACCCCTCTCGCAATTAGGATGTATTCCAGAAACTTCTTTCTTGTTTTCCAATGGCGGAAAATCCGAGCTTTGCGGGATTTCAGGAAGGGGTGCATTCCATCACTTTCGGATGCGGCCAGGCGGGGTCCTTTGTTTCACTGAGATGGATGATGGACCTTACGCGTCACTGTAATCAGGACATGGAAATCCCCTGATTTGTTTCTTTGGCGGTCCGGTCAAGAAACCTCCGGGCTGCAAAACAATGGGATGGGGATCAAGGGGGGGATCGTAAACAGGAAAAAAAGAACACGGAAATAAATTATTTCGGAAACACATCCGTTACAGCGAAAAAGCAAAAAAATACTGAACTAAAAAGAGAGAGAGAGAGGGGGCGGGTGGCAAAGTCCAGAGAAAGTCTCTAAGTGGGTCGAATTTTGGAAAAAGGAACCATCGCAATTACAGTGTTGTAAAAAGAATGTTTCTTCATCATTATCAAAGAAATCTCCCAGAATAACAAATAGTTCTGGCTTCTCACGGACCAATTGTTAGTTTTGAAGGAAAATACTGAAGGTAAGTTCTAAAACTGTACATAGATTATATAATTTTAAACGTAAGGTGCTCGATCTTGAAAACACTGTAATCGCGCTGGTTCCTTTTTGCTAAATGCCATCCAAGTGATTTGCGTAGTTCCACAAACAAAAGCGGTGCGTATCACGATAATATTAATATTATGTCTTGGTGAGGTATGGTATGAATATTTTTCCTTGAAATATTTAGATAGTTTTGATGAGATCGCGATTAAGATTCATAAACACATTTTTTTTTGGGGGGGGGGCACAAATTCCCCACGAAATTCCCGTTTTATCTCACAAATTTCGGCAACGAAAATTAAAATTTCTAAGGAAGTCTGCAACGTCGCAAATGGAGAAACGTCGTCTCTCATTTTGCCCAAAAATATGTATGTAGAAAACCGAGGGCATTGCGACTGTCCTCTCTCAACTTATATTCGTCTGTAACGATAAACAATGGGACACGTTCGCTACGGCACCTTGATACAACTATACAACCTCGACGGATGTCCGTATTGCGTTCACAAAATTGAAGGCGTTTTGCCTCCCTGCTCATACTGCCTGTAGTTGATTCGATCGACAGACGCGTTGGTCGGCGATGACGAAAAATTGATGCAACTATTTAAACTTGATGGATGTCCGTATCGCACCTACTGAAGTGGGAAACCACGTATCTCCATTGTGGCGTTTCAAAATTTCCGTTATCATTTCATCTCTTCCATGAGAAACTATCCAAATTCACGACGTGCGAGAATTTACGACACGGCAGTTTCGCATCTTCCCCGTAACATCACGTGCGATTTCGACAGTATTATCCTCTCTTCTTGTTAAGAAAACCGGGGAATTTGGGGAAGTGACACACGAGTAATATGGTGTCTGACCGTATTAATAAAGTTTCCCCCGTCATAGAAAGAACGGGAAATAGTTTTTTCCATTTCCCTTTTTTTGTGGGAAAGGGGGGGGGATTTTTGGGGTGACTGATCTCCCCCAAATCAGACTTTTTTGTCTCCTCTTCCCTCTGTATCCAAAAAAAAAAAAAATGACCTGCATTACTCATGCACTACCTACTGCATACTCACCCCGATCATTTGAAAAAAAAAATCCCCCGTGCTTGTCCCCCTATTTATTATATCCTTGATATCACCTGCACATGACACAATACCACCTTACCTCCAGGGTTCACTCGTTATTTTTCGCAAATCAATTTACAGAGAGGGAGTAATAAGTAGAATCCTTTTTTTTCCCTTTTTAATCTCGCAAGATTTCTCTCGGTTTTAGGAACCCAAGACGAGTCAATGACAAAAGTCTTGGGCCCTTCCATTATCTAAATCTAATTATTATTAGTGTTACTAGGGGGCCCGGCCCCCTGACCGCTACGCGGCCCAACCCCCGGGAGGGCGCTTCGCACCCCTGGCCCGCTTCGCACCCCTGGCCCGCTTCGCGGGCCCTTTACGCATATGTGTAGGCAAAAATGTTCTTCCATTTTAATACACCATTTTTCGTTCGAGCTGCATCGATTTCAAAAATTTTTGACGTAACACTCAGATTTGTAAATGATGAGGAATAGCTGGATGTACGTAATTTCACAGCTCACTTACTGGAGAAATTTTCATTTATTATGTTATTTTTAAATACTTAATTTAAAAAAAAAAAAAAAAAATCGGATTTCGACCGTTAAGAGTTAATGATATTTGGTCCGTCCCGATGCGACGCAGCGCCTGCCTTCTCGCTTTGTATCTGCTGTTTATCTGCTGTAAATATTAATAGAAATTCAGCAATCAAGTAAATTGACCAATGCCACAAATCGAAGCCGGAAGAATGTAGGAAAAATTGAGTTAAACCTTATAGCTTTTCCATTGTTTTATTGTTCATTCGAGTCACTCAGGTAGAATCCCACACCTTGACGTTTCTAGCGGAAACGACATATCTCTCACGCTATTAACATCGGACTTAAGTGACATGAGCTTTAAAAGCTCTACAACATTAAAAGTTTGGGGTTCATAATTTTTTGCACATCTACATCTACTACAGATGAAATTCCAATTTTTTGCTTCCAAGATTTTGCTTGTAGCTGTATAATATAGATGAAAAGAAAATCATGAATAATGGGAAATCATGGACCCACACAAGCTTTGGCTTTCGGGGGTTGATTCACTACAGGGCCGGATTAAGGGAGTGGCCACATGGGCCGCAGCCCATGGCGGCAAATCTATAGGGCAGCTTTTGCATTTTTTTTAAATGTAGGTATAAAAAAATATCGTATTTAGAAAAAAAAATTACGAACGAGAAAAGGCGACAAAATCTCTCATTTCCTGAGAGTGTAGTAATTTTTAATTTTGTCGTCTTTCAGTGATACGCAAGAGACAGCACCTTTAATTAGTCGAGCTAAGAGAGAAACCAAACTCGCAATTTTGCCTGGAGAGAAATGATGTCGAGGACTTGAGGTGAAAAGGAGAAGCCCTCGGCGCGGCGATGGGCATATGTAACACATATTAGCGCCTACAAGACTGCACGAATACTTCACGTATTGCATCAAACACAGTGCGGTCATTGCGGTCAGCGTGAAACGGATAGCGCCTACAAGAATGCATGAATAATTCACGCATGGCGCCTACAAGACTGCGTGAATACTTCACGCATTGCGCCAAACACGGTGCGGTCTGCGCGGCGCGGCGGCGGAAGTTAAAATTATTAAACCACATTCATGTTTGTTCTTTCATAATTTTTTCGTTCATTTTCTTATGAATGGAAGGCCTTGTCCACACAGATATAGGTTTACGAAACTTAACCTTCGGCCAAAGTTCCGTGAACTTTTGCCGGTGGTGTTGACAGTGTTTTCCCAAAAAATGTGTTCAACACGAGTAAACGCGTCTTATGCACTCCTCCCCCGCTAGCACGTTCATTTGATAATTTTTATTGATGTTTCAATACGAATGAGAAGGGGGCGGCAAAATTCAGGCGGCCCATGGGCGGCATAGTAGGTAAATCCGGCCCTGATTCACTGTAGTATGGAAACTATAAATGTAAATTCTAAAATAAATAAATAAATAAATAAATAGACTAAAACATAAATAAACTAATAGATAAATACACTAATAAATAAATAAACTAATAAATAAATAAATAAATAAATAAATAAAGCAATAAATAAATAAATAAATAAATAATAAATTTAATGAACCATAAGCAAATTGAATCCTCGAAAGCTACTCTCAGTGTTTTTGTGCCGACGTGTTGGCTGCATCGATTTTTGTTGGTAAGCGTGTAGAATGCCGACCTCAACTGATAACCAATGATAAAGCACCAAGTTGGCAGTAGCGCCAGCTGGACTGCGCTTCGTCTGTATGCTGTCGATAAGCGTATACGGCAAGCATGGCGTTTACGGATGTTAGGTGGCTGTGTTATTTAGTTTTTCTAGTTAATTTAATAGTTCTTTCGTTATCTAGTGTAGCATTTAGGAGATTCGAGTATAAGTATTCATTTAAACCCCCTTACTTAGCTCAGAAAGATGGCACTGTTCCGTTCTGGGAATACGGCGGAGGTGAGCTCTAATCAGTGTTTACTTATTTTACTACTTTGTTTTCCTAGTTATTTTCAATTTTTCTGAATGGAACCTCTTGTTCTAGCGACAATTCTATGCTTGGTTTTCTTATTAAACCTAAACGAATTCATTAGCTGCGGCTGGCAATCTGTATTTTCGTCACAAATAGTCTTGAAGCAAAAGCTAACCTAAGTTTTCCAATCTGTGTTTTTTGACACCTGTTTAAACAGATATGGGGAAATTTTAATAATATGTTAATGCTGAGGTGATCAGCTCCGCCGCAAAGATGTTACATGGTTCAAAGTTTTAAGCATTAGCTGCCAGCAAAAATTTGGATCCTCATTAATCGTCTGTCTACGCACTGAAAACTTTGCTCGGTGAACATATTGTTCGTTTGTCTCCGCTGGCTTTTTCGGCTGTCGGTGTGAAAATCTGAAAAACTCCAACACCTTTTAAACTTCCATACTACATAATTGTCCAAAGATTCATGAGAGTTGGTCTGTTGGCTTACTCATATCAATAAAAACATTGAATGAAACCTGAATTCTGATGTGTCTTACCCTTCTAATACTGTCAATTGGTTTAGATATGGTCAAGTTCGGAAAATAATATACTTATCGTAATAGTCCATTTTGTTCATAGTATTTTCAATGATAGTAAGTAGGCAGAATAATGATTCTGCCTATCATCATTTAAAATACTTTAACCTTCGAGCTGCGTACGTAGTCTAAAGTCCATTACATTTAGCTGCATCGCCAAAAAAATATTACAACCATGGACATAAGATAGAGATCAAAGGGAGAACTCTGTGTACGTAGAGTGGATACTCCCCTGCTTCTCCTAACCTTTCAAGGAAAGTAAGTTTCCAGTAAAGTTCCAGATTGATTTTAGGGATTTTTTTTTATTGCGGATCAGGGTGGATCGTAGTGTAACCCACTGGATCGGAATCCTGAGCGATCCGGACGGATCCACAGTGTTCCAAGTGATAAAAAAATCCAAACTGGGAATTTGGTTAAATTTGTTATTGTTTTGATTTGTTGGGGACGGCAACTTCCTCGCATTAGGTTAGGATCACAGTGGATCGCGAGCTCGCCCCACCTCGGAAGAGCAATCCAGCGTTCCACCCTGATCCACCTGGAACGCTTGGATCAGCCTGAGGAAGGGAATTAAAAAACACCGATGTTCATCGCGATCCACCACGTTCCAGTGCGATCCGCCTAAAAAAAAGCCCTTTTCTATTCTCAACCAGTATCCAAAAAAAAAAATAAAGACAGTCACTGATGAAATAATCTTTATTATATATCGTCACAGTGGATCTTCAAATACAAATGGATGATCAGGATAGCCTACTCCATAAATTCATCAGTGGAAAATCACACACTTTCATGAAAACAAAATTGGTAGGCATTTGTCTGAGAGTTCTAGAAATAATGCTCTCCTGTTTACATAATACATATCGTAAACCCTGTGAATCATATTATTTACTCAATCAGGTATGTAGATACATCTGAAGTGTCTAATCCTATTTCCTGTGAAAATACCAATACTTAATGATCTTGTTTCTTATCAGTAGATAGGTACTTGAGCGTGTCCACGATCTAGTTTTGTTTTTGGAATAGCTTAGCAAGTTGTTTTATTTTTGTGTTCTCTCTATTTCAGATGCCATTGCAAGTGCAGAAAATGTTAGAATAGCTCCATCATTAAGAAGTAAAAAAGGTAAGACCTTATTTGACAATTATCAAGCAGTTTTCATTGTAGTCCTAAGGTTAGTCAGTATTGAAGATCTGTGAAAATTTTATTCTGTAGGGTATATCCTAAAACAGTAAGCAGCAGTGACACTGTTCAGTACAGCAAGGGTCAATAATCTTGTGTACGAAACAATATTCAAGCTTTCCTACTCAAAAATTACTATTTTTTGCTGAAAAATCTTACCTTTTGCAACCTGTCAATTCCGCATACTTGCTGAAATTTATTAATGTTTTGCTCACATTTGCTCACTTTACCAAAAACAGCCTAGTTTTCACCAGATATAAGTAATCTGAGGATAGCTTGATAGAACATTTTATTGACCCTTGAGTTAAGTTTATGTAGAGTCGTGAGGGTAGGCGTTTGATACATAGGATTTCTACTTACTGTTCATATTTGAAGAAAAACTTGACTTTGAGCTATCTTTATCTAAAAAGAAACTTGACTTTGAGCTATCTTTATCTAAAAAGTGCGGAAAGTAGTTGATGAAGTATAATAGTGCTCTTGCATTACCATCTATACAGACACTCATCAACTATGATTCATTCATCTAATGTGCATGAGTTGAAGTGTATTGTCAGAGGATGACAATTACATCTCACTCCTTAGTCTTTACATCTGAAAAAGGAAAAAGGAGCAAAAGACACAGTAACATTAATAGCCTCTAAATGTTTATTGTGCCCGGATCACAGTTCGATTCCCCTCAAGTTTCAAGTTATTTTTTTGCAACTCACAAACCAAGCATGTATTTCTAAAAAAATCTGACTTGTAGAGGGATCCCATCCTATGTGTTCACGCTGGGAAGGAGTGTAAGTATCGATGGCAAAAGTGCGAAATCATGTATCCCTGATACGATGTTTAAACATTTCCGCTTCCATTTAATTTTCTCAAGGAGAAACAAAGCCAACTTCATACCTTGAAATTTTGACAGAATATTCTGCTGATGGAGAAGGAAAATCAAAGAATTTTTCAATGTAATTGGTTAACTGGTTTCTCAAGGAAACCATGAAGTATTGCAAAGTTTGCAAATTAAGGGGCTTGGAGGACAAGGCGTTTAAGGTGATTTGATGGACGCCATATTTTGTATCAGAATGACGTGCGATATATCGCATCAATTGGCTCAATTTTTCAGCTACTTATCATTTTTTTCGAATTTTGAGATCGCAATTCAGTTGTCAGGAGACTAAAGCACTCCTCTTACCAATTTTTACAGACAAATTCGATGTAAGAAAGGCGTGCTTTTTTTAGAGAGAAAACATCGCATTCGATACTGATATCGAAACTGCACTCAAATGCGATATTTTCTCTCTAAAAAAATCTTGCCTTTATTACATTGAATTTCTTTGTTAAAATTGGTGAGTGCTTTATTCTCCTAACAACAGAATTGCGATCTCAAAATTCGAGAAAAATGACGAGTAGCTGAAAAAATGGAACCAATTGATGCGATATATCGCATGCTGTTCTGACACAAAATATGGCGTCCATCAAATCACATTAAGTGCAGTTTTTGAAAACATCGAGATATTAATGATTTCAAGTAAAACTAGTCTTAATGCATATTCTGAGAAAAATTCGCTCCCAAATTCCAATTTTTAAGCATCAAAAAGCTATATCGAACTTCTCTTCCGCCGCAAGGATCCATGTAATTTCGAAATAGCAAAAACTGCACTTATGCGCCTTGTCTTTCACGCCCCCCTAATTGAGGCTTTAATACAGAGATTGCGTTTTAATTTTCGCTCCGAAAAACTCCCTGCGTCTCTGTTTGGGACTTTTGCTTGGAGGAAAGTAAGAGAAGTACAGTACCTCTGTTTATGATCAGTTCTTGATTGATCGACCTTGAAATTCCGCGGTGTGATTTTGTGAAGTGGTATAGTGTTCGGATTTTATGCATCCAGAAAATCGGCCCTGGGTCATATAAAGCCTCTGCACCGAGAAAACGCGTTAAGGTCTGGGACCTTAATGTTTAGGGAAAATTCATGCATGTTAACCTCCGAGGTTTAAGTTACAGGAATTGGTGTTCCGTATACTGTGTTTGTAGACGTGGAATACAAACTACAATCTCCTGTGTCCTAGAGCTAGGAGAGTGTCATGAATTAATTTTACCTTATGCTCCTGGCAGAGCGCCAGAAAGCTCTGTGTAAGCGGCTCTCATGAACGTATACATGTTTGTAATTGTACCTGAACTTAGAGATCCCAAACGGCAATTCATTTTTTCTCGTCTGGTCTCGTCATTTTGCCCGTAAGCGCGTTGATAACGGCGCAGAGATACAAATATTCGTACTTCATAGATGTCCGTGTTGCATCTGTAAAATTGTAGGCGCGAGGCGTGAGCTAGCAATGCCCCGCTCCATGCCAACGCCAATGAGATGTCACTCAGGTTTGGCAGGAAAGTTAAAAAAATCTAGCCCCGAAATCGTTTCTCCTATCCTCTGTGATGTATTCCTACGTAGCTCTCAAAACACCACCACGAAAAAGACGAACGGATGAAACACAACATGGAAGTAAAGGAAAGGAGAGGAAGCGCGTTGATGACGGCGCAGAGATACAACTATTCGTGCTTGATGGATGTCCATGTTGCATCTTCAAAATTGAAGGCGAGTTGGCGCGAAGCGTGCCCGTGCTCTTGCAGTGCTCCGCACTGTGCTGCTAATGAGATGTCGTTTAGGCTCGGAAGAAAAGTTAAAAAACGAATCTCGAGTCTCTCTTTTCTTCGGCTGTGTTTAATTTTCGATCTTTTTTTCAATTTTATTTTTTACTATGTATCCGAAGCTTGTATGCACCGGCCCTAACCCGCGGACGACGTAGCATGCCTCTGGTCAATTTGACCCGATTCGGGCATACGAGGGTTGGAGGTCAAAAATGTATCATTTTGTCCGCTATAATGTAAGAAAAATCGGGACGGTTTCGCTCAAAATTTGAGGAGCAATATGTTCTTCAATTACGGAGATACCTATAGTGAGGAGAGTTTGGGCTACCTTTGTAACTGTTCAAAATGAAATTCCAATGACTCCATCATCAATGAAATTCCGGTATAACTCTCTCCAATCTGATGAATAATAATAGGTGCACATAACAGAATAAAAAGCAATAACACCATTCAGCAACTCTTGAATCATACCGTAATCCTCACATTTACTCAAAACATCGGATTTTCCTGTTTACTTCGCTCAAGACTTACCCGTCATTATTTTGTTTACTTAATAGTGGCATAAAAATTGTTATCTTGTCAGTTGCCGCAACTTGCTCTTCGACAGCCCGCGCGTCTTTCAAAAAATTGTCTCGCTGTGACTGCCAGCATTAAGTCGTGCGCATCGTACTATTTAGCGCGAAAACCCGGACTAGTTAACAGTTTTTTCATGTAGCAAGGAAAGAAAAGGCGGCGGGAGGGCTCATTCCTACCGGACACTGTCATTTTTAGTGTTTTGTCGTGCCATGTAATTGATAATTTGCGCGCAAATTTTTTATCGCTTCATACGTAGTGTTTTGTCGTACCATGCAATGGAGAATTTGCACGCAAATTTTTATTGCCTCATCCGAGAGTGCTTAATGAGCTGAGATCACGGGTTTTTTATAACTTTTTCTTATATGGAAAGTAGTATAAAAATAGATTTAAAAATGAGATAATGCACCGCCTAGGACGTCATTTGGCAACTTATCTCTAAAAAAAAAGGGCAGAGAATTTTACAATTCCTGTTTTTTTTTAGATGATCATCGTATTATCTGACGTTACCCTGTAAAATTAATGCAATTTATTTCGTTTTAGTTTCAAACCATGTAGATAGATACAAGGAAATACTTGTAGTCGTTACGTTATATTTCAATAAAATTCCCTCAAAAAAAAAAAATAAATAAATAAATAAATTGACGACGTGTCCAATCTCCTCCAATAAATGTTCCATTTAGAAACCAAGGGTATCCTCGTGTTCAGTTCACTCCAAACTTTCCACGAGAACACGAAATTCATCGAATTTCGGGCACCTGCAAATTCTCCATTCGTCTTGCTCCAAACGAAAGAACTTAACTACATTAAAACTGCAAAATTTCCGCTGCCAATTTTAACTGGAAAAGTATAAAGCATTCTTAACTGAAAATTTAACCGTTTTTAATTGCTCATCAATTTCTTGTAAAAAATTGAATTCTTTGAATGAATTTTGAAACCTTGGAATGGCGTCACGTTCCTTCGTTGGTGGGAGACATTTTACGGACAATTTACACTGAAAAAAAAAATCTCGGTGTATTTGCTAAGGAAAGGGTAAAATTACCAAGAATCCAGGGTTCTATTTGATCCCAGTTTTTTCTTGGTAAAATTACCATTTATGGAATTGGTAATTTTACCGAGAAATCTCGGTAAAATTGTTGAACTTTCTCGGTAATTTCCCTGGACCTTGGTAAAAATGCCAATATTTTTTATCGACGGTGGTAAAATTACCGGGATAAAATGGCAAAGTTACCGGGAATTGAGTACCAATAAAAGAGGTATTCTTACCTGAAAAAAAAAACAGTAAAAATACCGGTTTTTAGGTAAGCTTACCAGTCTGTCTTGGTAAAATTACCAATAATTGGTGAAAAAAGTGAGATGGTAAAGGTACTAACGGACCGTGGTAAAAACGCCGAGAATTTTTTTTCAGTGTAGCGAGCTTTTTCTGAATGAATCGTCATTCCCAACCTGTCGCGTAACCGCTCCGTCTTAATAAAGGGATCACGCCACTTGATGTTTTTTGTGAAGAGCTGCGTGCTCACGAAATTACGAGTGTCAAGTACTTCATGCAATTTTAGCAACATTCTTTTCGCCGAGTTTTGAAGACTAGAGTGCCAAAGTGTCTTAGCACTTGAGATTGTGGAATCGAAAGGACGAAGCCCAAAAATTTTTCGAGGACGGTACTTACCTGCGTCGTTGTTTATTCGCCAGATTAAAATGCTACCCTATACATCATACACCCTCTTATGTGCATTTCCAATCTCAATATGGTGAAAATGGTATGAATAAAAGTATGTAATGGTATGAATGGTACTCAATGATGATGAATTCAGGCGAAATGAAGCTTCAGGTGGAAACTGAGTCGAAAATATAGATTTTGAGTTTGCGATACTGAAGAATACCTTCCAATGCCATCGTGGGGTCAAAGTTGGAAGCTGGAATTTCCATTATCAATGATGTTATAAGCGTTTGAAGTGAATCGTGTCGAAGCTCGAAGACGGGCATGGCACTCATGGCAGCAGCCGTCGCGCGCCGACAAACTTTCGCGGTGGTTCTCTCGAAATCCCCACCCTGGTAAAAATTGGCAGTAGAATGTGTGTTTCAAAATACCATGGACCTAAAGCCGGGTATAAGATTTCCGATAGCTTCTGTAGCCGGCTGTACAATTTCTTATAGCCTTTTATAGCCGATGGCGATTAAGCAACTGCCAGACGATAAAGTTTATGCTAAACGTTACTAAATACGGATACTAGGACTTAGTTAGTTTTTGGACTACCGCTCTCTTTTTGTGCCGTAGTATCTTGATTTATTTTGCGAGGAAGCTTTACTTTTGAAGGATGCCTGTCATTCTTAATATGTTGGAGCGCCTTCAATTTCGTATGATACTGTGCAATACCTCTGGTGTGAAATAGTTGCTTCAGACGCCGTGGCACGCTGCGGCGCGGCGGGCGGGCAGAGAGCGCGAAACGCGCATCAGCGCCTACAAGCCTAACAGGGATACTTCACGCATTGCGCAACGCGTGAAGTATCCCTGTTAGGTTTGTACGCGCCAGTGCGTCGCCGCTCCGCTTTGTGTTAGGCTCTAATATTTAATCTCGCGGAGTCAGCGTTTTTCAACTCACGATTTTGAAATGTTTGCACACTCTGTATGGACTATTCTCATTTTAATTGATGAAAAAAAAAAATATGTTTTAAAGGAAAATATAATGTGTGTTCCGTAAATATTAAGGTAGTTCCGTATCAAACGTACTTAATGATTTCCAAAGCACACGAATTTCTACACAATTTTTTATAGCCTTTTATAGCCAATGGCGATAAAGGGTAAAGCCCGGCGATAGGAACTATAGCCCGACAGTATACTTTTTTATAGCTTCGTATAGCCCGGCTATATAATTCGCTCCGCTTTCTACAGCCAGCTAAGTATATGCTTTTCAATAGCCTTCTTTAGTTGGCTATAAGAACTCTCACGGTATTTTGAAACGCAGCTCCTATCGCTAATTTTTACCAGGGCATTTTTCGCCCTCCAACTTAAAATTGCTGCTATGTAGTCAATTTTTTAAATTTTAGGGTGTTCTTTGCGTTAAATAATGCATAAGTAACTTCTCCAAGCTGTAGTTTAGTCGTAAAATTAACTCGCACCCCATTTCCAGCCCATGGCACATTTCGCCCGACTCACTGTCAGTCGCAAATACTAGAGCACACGTTTTTATCAGGGAAAAGGAAAATCCCCGTGCTCCTGGAAGTAAACGTGGAAGCCACTTCAAGCTGGCGCGGCGCACGGTGGATCGAATCATTAGGAGAGGTCGGACAAAATTTAGAAACTTTAAACGCTTATAACTCCGTTTATACAAAACTTTGAGGTTCTGAAAGTGGTTCCATTGGTTTTCTCGTGAAATTCTCCTTTGCAAGCCCCTCCTGAAGTTTAAAATGTGACGAAATAAACATCGAAATTTGCAGTTTCAGTCAAGAATTTCATCTACGACCTCTCTAATTGACTCGATCCACTGTGCGGCGCCTTGCGTAGCACGAATTTCACTCGAATTGCGCCGCGTGTCGAAAAAATGAAAACGATGGTTTCCGAGGAAAATGATGACACGACGAACTCCTCGTTCCCGTGATTCAACTATTGCCTGCGTCAGCAGATACCCATTTTTGTGTACACAACACACAATTGCCGTTCTATTCCCTTCCAGCCACATTTCAACAGGTTGAAAAAACCGGCAAAGGCCTCTCTCTGTTCATGTGTTTTTTCTCTCTTAGTTTTTTCTCTAATAATTATCTATAATCGCAAACTAATACTTCCTTATGAAAGGAATTTTTGCCTCTGTCTTAATTTTCATGATATGAGTGTAGGAAATGTATTACGTTCTCGCCCGATGGCATTCACTTACAACCTCGGTGAACGAAATGAAAACCAAAGAGAGAGGAACCTCTAGTAAAAAATTATTTACCCTTTACCCTCTCCTCTCTTGTGAACCTCTTATTTTTAAATCTAGGTGAATTTATTCAAGTAACTAATTGTCTCAATTGAGTACGCACATCAAAAAGTGTGTAAGCCGATATCTGCGAAAAGTTTCAAAATAGGTAGACTAATTTCGTAGATAGTGATTTTTTGGAGTATTTTTAGAGTTATTTTTTTGAGGATTGCATTTGGAAGAGCGCTTTTAAATGTTACTTTAATTTGCTCTTAGTAAAGCAATTTTTCACGGTCTCCTTGGATTCTCCCCAGTCCCAGTATTCTACGTCCCTCCATTAGACATATTTTATTATGACAATTTCACAAAGACCACTTTTCACATGTTAAAATGTGTGCAAGCATTATTGGAGTTAGATATTAGCGTTTAATACTTTTTATCAGAAACTGACATTCCAAACCTCTCGCCTCAGAAAATACAATAATCAAAGTACATCAAATCGGCCACTGAAAATAAACTTATCATCTGGTACTTTGATGGAAATTGGTTCATCAAACTTTTATTCCTAGTTTGATTCCCGGGATCTCTCAAGTTTTCAAAAAAAGAAGGGGAAAAACAATAAGTCATCGGAAAATTATTCCATTGCAACACAGACCGAATATTGGTTTAGTGTCCGATGTGACCCTAGTAGATTTTGAATTATTGTCAAGAGGAGTTTTGAATTCAATTATGGATTACGGAAAATGTCAATAATTCTCTTGTGAGTTAAAGTTGGAAAATTTCGGCGTGTTCATTGTGTTCTATGTGAAATTTTGATGTTTCTTACCTTGTCTTAAGGCTCATTAACTACAGACTTGAGTTTTTCCAAAAGTTGTATTCTTCCATGTCTTCTGTAATTTTATCAACTTAATGTAAATTTTCAGGTGCAATATGGACCAAAGCAGCAACAGATTTCGATTGGTGGGAGGTGGATATTGTGTTCAGAATTACTGGCAGAGGAAGAGTTGGTGCTGATGGTTTGGTGAGTTCTCAGTTGTGCATCCTATTCTTGTCTTTGTGGGAGTGGAGGGGGGATTAAAAGTCAATAGAATCTGGAATAAAATATCTGAGCTGCAAGCATTTCTAAAAACATTTAAATTCTATCTTTGATTCGAAGAGGATTGAATTATATGGGTGGCTAACTGAAAAGTGCTAAAAATTCTATCTTGACTGCAACATCAAATAATCCCCGATAGTGCTTTATTTTCTTTTACAAAAACTGATCAAAATGTCTCCTTGCAATGGACCACTAGACAAGGTACGAATTTAAGCATTCTAATACATGTTTCCGAACCAGAATTTCACGCGAAACACGATGTGCGCAACGAAAATTACTGAAATCAACTCCTAAGGAAGATATTAACGTTTTTATTTCACATTGGTTATGAGGAATTTGAAAGGCCCGCTCACAAGAAACTCAAAGCTCTACGTAAGTCAAATTGCGCACTACAACGGTTTCAGCAAGCTTCTCAACCGAGCAATGTTCATTTCCCACCATGTGTTGTTCAAACTATAAGCAATTTGCTATAACTGAGCCAAAGCGTTAAGATTGAGGTTGCCAGATTCTTATATAGCAGAGACTGTCATGCTGACGTTTAGCGCGCGATGTGAATCACGTATAGGATTGAGTTTTCATGAGCGGGTGGTTTGAATTCACGCATCAAGAATCATTTAATTTCTTCGTAAGGAGTTAATTTCGGTAGTTTTTGTTGTGCGCATCGTGTTCTACGTGAAATTTCGGTTAAGAAACCTGTATCAGAATGCTGAAATTCGTACCTTGTCTAGTGGTCCATTTTGTGTAATTTTTCCGAAATGAGGGATGAAAATTTACAAAGAATTTTATTATACATTGTCGGTTTGTCCTCCGTTAAAAAAAAATATAATTTGAGCGGAAACTCTCAACGCCGCAACTTGAAATACGCATTTTCACGCCTTTAACTCAAGCATCTCTCTAAGAGTGATAATAATTATCAGGGGCATCCCATTGCTATTTGTGAAAATTGCAGGCTTCTACTCTCAATAAACTTTCATCAAAAGTCAATTTATCATCGATTTACTAATTCTATTCCTATGCATCAATATCAAATCCTATTGTTATTTAATCTGATTAATATTTTTCCAGGCTTTCTGGTACACAACTCAAAAAGGCAACTATGATGGACCAGTTTTTGGAAGCTCAGACAACTGGGTTGGTTTAGGAGTCTTCTTCGATTCATTTGACAATGACAACAAACACAATAATCCGTACATTTTAGCAGTGGTAAATGATGGCTCTAAATCGTTTGATCACGCAAAGTGAGTTTGTCAGCACGCTAACTAACAGCTTGTAAAATATGCTTCCTTTTTGTATTTTCAAAAGATCAAAAAAATCTGAAGGATTTGAAGGGTGTAAATATCTCGTTCTAGATCTGAATGCTTGTGTTTAGACAGCTTAGATCTCTCAATTGAAGCCCTTCAAATGAGGGATTTGAATGGGGAAACCAAATGAATTGCTGCGAAAAGCAAATGACCAAAAGTGGAAATATTACGAAATGTATTATTTCTTTCAAAAATAGAAGTCAGTATGCATCCCATTTCATGCCTTAGGCAGTGGAAACGTGTGATGAATGTTGCGTTTGCTTTTTTTGAGAATGGTAACAATCAAATGGTTATAATGTAAGGAATGTTACCAATTGGCCTTTTTTTAAGATACTGATTGGTATTCTTGAGTGGCCGACTCCAACCAATATGGAATGATACACCAGTTTTCTTGTAAAAGGATGAAGAATCGGAGGTAGCATGTCATGATTTCAAAGAAATATTCTTGATTGCTTTGTAAATTCATTTTCAAGCAAAACCGTAGCCATCCCATTTAAAGTTTCCTTAGTGTCTCTCCCTGGTACTTGTATGTCTCTGGGCTTGCAGAGGCCAAAGTGTTGTCCTATGCGGGTTTTAGGCATGTTTGCGAATTATTCGCCAAGTACCATCTAAAATTGAGCTTATATCAGGAAGAATTACAGAACCCACATCTTGCTTTATAGTATTCATTGATTCATCACCTCACTGCCGACAGCAAAAATGGTATCACCATTTAATGAGAGTATATCAAGACTCTTTTGTCAGAAAAATAGAACAGATCTATTCGGCTGGTCGATGTACAAATGCATGTAAAGGAAAAGGAACTGTTCCGTGGGAATAGAATAACATGGACCTCTGAATTCATTTAATAAGTAAACAAAATAATTTTGAGTGGTTATTTCATTGTTTTGTGTGTGTGCAAAGGTTAATTTCTTTGGGTTGTGTTACTAACGGTTTTTTAATTCATTTCATTATAATGGGAACTCCCTTGCTTTTGTCAAGAATAATTTGCAGAGTTGGTCTTTGTTTTTGATCCTTCTGAAGTGAGGAAGAAGTATATTATCATATTTCTTATCCCTTGTTTATCTTTTTTAATGTCTTGAAACAAATGTTGTCTGCGTGTTTCAGTGATGGTTCCACACAGCATATTGCTGGTTGTTTGAGGGATTTCCGTAATAAACCTTTCCCCACCAGAGCAAAAATTGAATACTACCAAAATACTTTGCAGGTGAGTTCATAGATCATGAGGTACATAACTCATTTAATACTTGATTAAGTTGAGAACCACTCATGAATGTTCGATGAGGGCAGTTTTTTTACATGGCTTATTTGCAACAAAATAACTTACATATGTACCCAGAATGTTTGCATTGTCCATTGAAGCTTTATTGTGTGACGGTACATAATGATATCATCATCCAAGTTATTTAGGTTGAGTCAAAAGTTTTGGGCTAAAAATTATCAGATTTAAATGGAACTTTTATGCCCTCCTCTGGTAGCAAATTTAATTTAAACTGCTGAAAACACACTTGATGTTATATTACAGAGCATTTTTTGTCAAAAAGAAAATCAATTTTTTTTTTCTGACTTGATAAACATTTCTCTCAAAAAATGTATCCTTGGGCATTTCTGTACCTTTTCTCATGGTGCATTTTAGTATCATGTTTGGATTTTTAATGGGTTTTTTTTAGTTCTTTATCTGTCTCAAAAATGCGCAGGTCTAGGTACCCATAAAATTAAAATAAAAGTATAACAGACAGCTACTTGATGAAATCACTTCCGCTGAAGCTGAACATGTGTTACTTACCTTTGGGATGTACTTTGCTGATACTAGAGACCTTAAAGATTGACTGAAGCGGAAAAAACAGTGTTAGTCGATTATTTTCAGATAATCTCTTATGTACCCTGAACTAATATTAAATCTCAAATTTTTTAGCTGTATTCTGAAGAGGAAAAAAATTATTTTCTAAGGAACCAATCATTTTATTCTCTTTTATAAAAATAATCTTAGTCATCATATGCCCAAATTTCTTTGTGAAAAACTAATGAAACCTAGTCCCAAAACAAAAGACTATATTGTTATTGTGTCTAAGTATAGTCGTTCAATAGTCTGAAAGTCACCCACTAAAGCGAAAAAATTCTAAAAGCTAGAAAAAATGATATGCTAACATGACACACGTATCATCCTCCATTAATTTTAAATACACATTTAAACTAGTGTGTTGATTTAATCTATAAGTTGGTGAGTTATCTACCAGTTTTTGCCCTCAGGATTCCTACTCTAATTTTCTCTCAGTTTTTTTGTATCCCATTTTTTTCTTTTAGTCATTCGCATCATTTATATTTTCAGCTTTTATTCCATAGTGGAAACACGAACAATGACCAAGATTTTGAGATTTGCTTTAGAAAGGAAGGCATTTACCTTCCCAAGAATGGCTTCTTCGGTTTGTCTGCTGCAACCGGTGGACTAGCAGGTATGTGATTCTAGCTTAATTGAATTTGGTTTTTTAGCAAGTATCCAGTGTTTTCCTTTTATACAAGAATGCCACATACTCTCCATTAAAAATGTAACCTCCAATCTAAAATATTATATTACTATTTTATATTTATTTCCAAGCGCCTTTTATTAGTAGAAGACGTCTTGAAAATTCAATTTCACGAAAAATTTGTCTGTGACAGGAAAAATGTAAGATTAGTGTTGGTTTTAGCACTTAGCCAAAAAGCATTTGATTAGTCCTATTTGAGTTTTAAAAGAACTGCTACCCGTTTTTAAAAACGGATGGAATTTACATTGAGATTTAGGTTGATTTTGTCATTTCTCCAAAGAAATCTCTTTACCCAAGAGAGCAGGAAGAATTTTCAGGCATGCTGTAGAAGTATTCCTCAGTATTTTGGCTGCGGAATCGGAAAATTATCTTGGTTTTCACCTGCCATTCACCAGTACTTTGGAAAATGCAATTTCCCTTGGAAAGGCCCTTTTTCTGGAGAAATATCCAATTTTTCGTAAAATTCTATTGTGCTAGAAATTTTTTCATGGCTTTTCAAAAAGTTTTCTCGAAAACGGCTGTGACCCAAAATTTGAAAGCTTTTATTGCCATTTATAAACTCTGTGCGTGTTAAACGTTCTTTAAGGATAACGCTACGGTTGTTCATGAGTATCATTCATGATGAGTTGCATTTTGCTACAAGTCATCTCTGCTTTAGTTCTACTGTTTTTTTGGTTCATTAAGTGAATTTAACATACTTTTTTCTATTTGTGAAACAATGCGATTATGATTTGCAGATGACCATGATGTTCTTCATTTCTTGACAACAAGCTTGTATCCACCTGGTGTGGCTCCATCAGTACCGCAAGTTGCGGGCAAAGCACCTCAGCAGGCAGCTCAAGTCTCTCCTGAAGAGCAGCAGAAATTGGCTGATGAATATGCCGACTATCAACGCAAACTAGAATTACAGAAACAAGAGTATGTTCCTTTATGTTTTATTTATTTTCTGAATATTTAGCTTTATTAGACAAATTGAATAATGTCTTCCAAGTAAATGAGTTACAGCTACCCTTTCTGAATGACTCTATAAGTTAGCTGAATTGGCTGCAAGGTATGGAGTTTTTTAATTCTCAACAATTGATATCAATGTATATCAAAGAAGCTCTTATTATTTGGGTATGATAATATGTTAAATATGTACCAATATTTTCATTCTTAGAAGGCGTTCAATTAAAAAGTGGATGGAAAGCATCCAAAATGATGTTAGTCGATAAAATTCAGTGGTAGTTAGGTGTTGTTGAGAACCCTAGTGTGCTGTAAAAGCAACTACTATTTACGTATACCCCACTTTAATGTTTTATATTCTTTTTATCATTTTCCTTTAGTATGTGACATCCTTAGGGGAAAACGATCCTCCCTCCCTTAAAAGTAAACTGAAGATTAAATATCACTGCTTCAAACATTGTTTTGCAGCTTTGGCAAGCCTTCATATCCAAGCCAAAGTTAAGAAAGCTTTCTGTTCAATAACCATAATATTCTTCTGTGGATGCTTCTCATGGAGAATTTAGATGCTGAATTTTCAACCCAGTTTGCCAAAAAGTCTCTCTCATGAAATTTTTCCGCTTCCAAGAAGAAAGTTCTTTTCCCCCATGGAACACTACAAGGAGTTCTATTCATAGTCGTTCCTTGAACGTTGAGGCCTCCTCAAGCCGTGAGAATTACATTGGTTAAGGACACCTTAACACTCAAGGAACGACAATGAATACCACTCAAGAAAATTTTATCTATGCTGGAGGCTGTTTTTGAGCTTCAGTCTGAAAATTCCCAGCTAATTCTGAATTCAATTTTACAGATATCACCGAGAACATCCAGAAGCCAAGACAAAAGATCATGAAGCAGAATTCGAAGAGTGGTATGAATCTGATCAAACAAGAGAGCTGAAACAAATATTCTCTGGACAGTCGCAGATCATAGATTCTGTCCGAGTTCTTAGTCAAAAGCTAGATGAAGTGATAGGCCGACAAGAGAGGGCCATCAGTTTACTGTCAGGTGTTCATTCCAATCTAGTCGCCGGTGGGGTACCCCCTCCTGTTCATCAAGTCCCTCATGGTAATTTCCTCTCTTTTCTTCCTAATTAGCCGACAGTGAAGGTTTTTATTCTTCCCTATACACTTTTTCATTTGAGTTCTCGAGAACGAATCAGTCAAACCATTTTTTATCTCCTTTCTCAAAATTACTCAAGTTTTTGAACCTTTGGCGATTTCTTCCTCTTGGAAAAAATTCATCTAAAAACGTGCATAAATAAATATGAATAAAGGCGGCTGAAAATTTGTTTTATTTTCGTACTGTAATTGTCAGATCCATAAGAAATGCTGGTAACGGATTATGTATATGGTAGGAGATTGGATGCAAGTAGTTTTGACTCTACAACAAGAGAGTAACAATTTGTTTTTAATAGGTTTTGATCGGTTCACATCAAGAATCCCTGGAATTCGGTTATTTTTCTCTCCTTGCTACTACCTCTCAAAAATATATCCTGGGCCATCCTGTGCTTCTCATGTTTTTGCTTGTTCTTGTCATCACTGAAAAAAAGTCCTGGAAAGGTCCTCACAGTTCAACTTGTTTTGCTTTCTGTGACAAAGTCTGCGGTATTTCTTGTTTGCAAGTAATTTTACGGAGTTTTCAAGATGCTCCATGAGTTTTTATCCTCAGAGCCATGAGAAAGATTATTCCTGAGTGAATCTTTCCTTTTTTCAAAGAATTTGTCAACTCTCAAGTATAGAACTTTTATCACAGAGAACAGGTGTGGCAGCAGTGATGAAATAATGTATTTTAGAACATTCTACCTATTTCATGTTTTAAGCTAATTTGAGCCTTGTTTTATAATATTTCTGTTTCTTTGATCAGGAACTAAAACTTTTATTTTTTAATTGTATTTCAGGGGCAATTCCAGCTGCTGCTATTGGTGCCACCGGTGCCATTCAAAGGCATGAAGTGGATGCCATTATTAACACCCAAAATACTCTATTAGCATCAAGTAAAGAGCTCAGGTAAGCTGTTTGAAAATTTGCCCTGTACAGATACCATTTTGTACTGATTCACTGTATGTCTAAGAAAGGAACTTAACTGAGTTTGCTGTTGAGGGGACAAAGATTGCAACATTTCTATCAAAACTTGGCAAAAGTTTGTTGCTAGCCCTCATTTTTTGTCGTGTTTAAAGTTTTTTTTTTGAGATTTTTGTTTTTGCCATATTATTTAGAGGACATCCACAGTGGGTTAGTTAAGCTGGTTACAGAAACGTGTTGCAATTCTATAAATTAGCAGAATTGACAGCTCATAAACAAATTTTTTAACTTACGGTGGCCCCTAAGAACAAAGAAACCATTTTCCTCATCACCTTATCAGTATTTGGCGTAGGTGTGTTTCTGTATGTTATTTCATTTAACTAAGAAAGGTACTTGTTCATCTCTATCCTATTCTTTTTTCATTGCTGTTGTTTTATAATTACTTCTTTACAGATTGAGATATTTACTGAATGTTAGTGATAAACTCTAATTGTTTGTTGACAGGAATTACATAGCAGAGTTACATGTCAAGTCCGATTCAATTCTATCAAATCAAGCGCGACAACCAACAGCTCAAGTGCAATCAGTCGGGTACGACATGGCATCCTTTGTAGCTGAAGTGAGGGATGGTCTCAACTCAATAAAACAAGATGCTTCTATTAATGCTCAAAAACTTTCAACAGGCTGCCCCGCTCCTTCCTGTATCTCATTCACAATGTTTTTAGTCGTAGCTGTTGTTCAGTGTCTTGTTCTCATCTTGTATCATGTTTATAGGTAAGATTCTTACACTTTGGTCTACTCTACTCTACTCTCTTTCTACTACAGTTAACCCCAGTTAAGCCAAATTGTGGTCAAACCAAGTTTGAGTTCGATTTTGACCGAAATTCAAGTTAAGCATTTGTCCTTCATGTCGAATTTTCACTCAAGAAAATTGACTGACTCGACTTCACAGGCACTCTTGTGAGAAATCTAGAAACAAGTATGTCTGCCTGAAGGTATTTTGGAAAATTTTTAATTCCAAACGCAGCTGAATCAGACAGATATTTTGCAATGTGAAATAGTATCTTGCGATGTGCGTCTTGTTATTTTACCTCAAAACAAGGAGGTTGATTCCGCCTCATTTAGTTTTCAAGAAATGCTGAGAGTGCCTGGGCAAGTGAAAGCTGGGTTCTCGCTACTCTGCTGATTCCTTTTCCACTGAATCTGTTTGAAGCACAATTTTCCTATCTTTCTGTAGTATAGTAATCTTTGATTCACGTCTCAGTATCATCAAATTAGTGTATTATTGCCTATTTTTTGCTTTTCTAATACCTCATCAACATGAATTACAAACAAACTCATTTCACGAGCTTAACTATTTGATCGCATCTCAAAGTTTGAAAATGAGAAATCCTTAATATGAGAAAAACGTAATTGTTGTTTCGAGGCAATTTTACAGAGAAACACCTGCTTCAGTAAATAAAAAAAAGAACCTCTACTCATGTTTCCTAAATATCATATTGCGGTGTAAGTCGGCAATCACATAACTCGTTTGCGGTGTCTGAAAATCTCCGCCTTTATGTTATTTTTTAAAGGAGAACAAATTGACATCATTCCTTGAAGTTTTTGCCCAATTTTCTTCGCACAGAGAAGAAAAATCACGGCGGTTTTAAAGAATCGCCGTTGAGTAGTTTTCCGTTTAAAAAATAAAGTATGATAGGAAGTCTGCGACGTCGCAAACCGAGTTATGTGATTGCCGACTTACACCATCGATATGCTTACCATGTCCCTAAATAACATGTATGAACTTTCAGAAGTTCCATGGTTTCAGGGAAAAATTATCATAGTTCATTACCTTGCGAAAGCAAATAGTTGCGTTACCGCCCAACTGAGTTCAAATTCTGCCACTGTTGCAGGCTATAAAAATAGTAATTTTCCATGGGCTATTATGTTATTTTCTTTTTTCTACTAATCATAACTTTGAATATAGATATAGTGATTTTAAGAGTAGTTTAAAGCCTTTAATACAAAAAACGCTAATTTAGACTTGAGCTGTGTCACTCACTGCACTGGACAGGGGACTTTTCATCTCTTAAGTCCTTTGCTTTAGTTCCGTTTCATTGAGCCTTTTAAACAGAGCCTCTCTATTTAACGGACAAACTTGGCTGAAATTTAGTTGCATGGAGGCTGGGCTTGGGGTAATTCTATTCTCTAGCTCTGCAGCAAAATGAAGGTAAAATGTTTTTCTTTCCTGCTGATATTGCAGCAAAGAAAAGGGACACTAATACAAGAGGATTAAAAACGCCTAAGTGGCTATGGGCTTTAATGGAACCTTGAGTGATTTTTGCAAGTGCTTTCTGTTTCTCTTCAACAACCTGTAGCTCACTCCAAATTTCTCCTTTTTTCTTCCCTGTCAATCATGTGTCACAGGGTAACAAGTTTTTGAAAAAGTAGGGAATTTTTCCAATCCCAGAAAGTCAGAGAATTTTGCTGCAGAACCTTAAAATTCGTTCTTCTGACTGAGACGTTTTATTATATTTTATTTTAAGAGACTTCTGTCTATAACTTTTTGTGGAGAGTTTATTTACATGAGAAATTATCCCAAATAATATTGGAAGGTCATGGAAATGTCAGGAAATTTTACGCTGGAAAACTCTTAATACCTCATATAATATCATGGAATTTTAAAATTCAAGAAACCTTGTCACCCTGTGTTATCAGTCCTAAACTATTGCACTTCGATCATTTTTTAAAACTTGAGCATTTGTTGACTTGTGTATTCACTAACATTTATTGACACAGCATTAATATCTCTTATATTTTTTCTGTTGCAGGGATAGTCGAGAAGCACATAATAAGAAATTTTTCTAAGTAAGTGTGAAAATGTCTTCCTGTTGATTAGTTGTTTTCTATCCTTCTCTTTTTTTCAAGACCAGCATAGTCTATCCCTCTGTTTACAGATCTTGATGAAATTTTGATCTTTTGTTGTGGTATTGTAAATTTTTATTGAACTTGTAATATTTTGTAATAAATTATCTTTTTTCTAGAATATTAAGGTATTAATTCTTCCAACTCCAATTGAATTGAAAAAAAGGAGCTCTAAATGGAAATTTTTGAGGGATGACCTATTTGAAAGAGAGGCTATGAAGGTCTTGTGAACAGTAAGGGCTATTAGTGAGATGCTGCATGGAACAGTTCAAAAGATGGTATTAACGTAGTAGGATTTATTCATGTTTATTTTTCATCGTAATTTTTTGTAATGAATAATTCTAAACGCAATTTTTTATTTATTTTCATCTTTCTGCAATATCTAAAGTGAAAAATTGCATCAAGCAGACCTTTTCCAAAGAGGTGAAGATTACCCTTATGGACAAAAACTTAAAATGTTTGTCAATGGGAAATATATCAGTGTCGAAAACTATTGATTCTTGTAAGATGGTTACCTCCAGGGAGTTTAGGGTGTCCGGACTTTGATGCCCAATAGAAATTAGAAATAGTGAGACCAGTTGCTACACCTGCTACCTTAGTGCCCGATAAAAATAAAAAAAAATAATCAGTAAATGCCATGGTAGTATCTACTAATAAGCTCACTAGGACTAACTTCAAATTAAATGCAATTACTGTGACTTTAAATAATCTAAAAGTTATTTTTTTAAAAAAAATTGATTTATTTAACAGGTTGTTAACAAAAATATGAGTTTAGAAAAACATTTTAACGAGAATATTGTACATTTGACATTATTTAAGCCATAAGAAATACATTGATTATTGAGTTTCTTTACTCCAATGTTTACATTATATCAATAGAGAACAAATTTGGCAATTTGCCTCGGGGAAAATTTGTGAGACATGTACATTAAAAATTAAAAATCAATTTTTTTCTTTTTTTTTCTTCAAAAGTAAGGATAAAAAGGAAACGGATATAAATAAGAAATATTTGTCAAAAGTTGAAAATTACTATTACATTAAAAAGGTAGTGGGAAAAATGCAAATAAATAACTTCAAAACGAAGGTAAAATTCAGTCAGTTTCATTAACCTGCATGATAGAGCTTGAAAAACTGGAGAAATAAAAGGAGTGTGTAGAAGTGATTTGATTTTATATTCCATTGGATAAAATTATGTTAGTCAAATCGGGGGGAAAATAGAAAGTTGATGTCTTCAAAAGAATTAATGGATGGAAGAAAAAGATAGGAGATTAAATTTCTAGTGATTCAAAGTTACTGATATTATATGTATAATGGTGTCAATACCTCATCAGTCGGACTGAACTACAGGTGTAGTGATAACGATTACTGTTCTTTGAAGGTAATTTGCACCAGGATATTGGTAGCAAAAATATGTAGAAGATAATATTGACGAGTAGAAGAAAATAAGTGAAAAATCAGTGGAGTAATGGAAGGAAACACTCAAAAAATTTAGCATGGCTTAAATACTTTGCCAATAGAACAAAGATTGTTCTCCAATCACAAACATTTCCAGTTAATGTACAATTGATGGTTTTAGTTACGCCTATCTAATTTTTTTTTACAATTACAAAAATAATTTACTTATCTAAGCTATGTACATTTACAAACGTGAAGACTTCTAAAATTGAACAGAACTGATTTTCCTTTGAAACTGAAATGTTAGAAAAAGAACTGGTTCAGGACAAAGGCAAGCAATATTTTTCTGAGAGTTCCAAGCAAAGTAACTACAAAACTATTTTACAAAATGCCATTGCACCATGGAGTAAAAACAAAGGGACTAACGAAATATGGAATAAAATTCAGTCATAGATGAATTAATTTAGTATAATACTAGTAGTACGCATGGGAAACAATTTAAAAGTCCCATGATGAATTTTTTTACCTTCTTTTGTAGAAACAAACCACGGATTAAAACATAATGAGATCATAAAGAAAATAAGAACTATTAAGGAATTATATAAAAAAAGAAAGAAATAAAAATAAAACAATGGTAAAACGGGCGAAATGTTCCTCAGAAAGGGAGAGAACATTGGAACACGACATAAATCATAACATAAGTTTGGCTTCTATTTCTTATTCTCCTGAAATTTACATCTGTCATACTACTGAGAGTAGATTCAAAGCAGATTATTAGTGTCATTTCGTTAGGTGTAGGACACATATGATTGCTAACTGTTTGTTGAAATACTATTGGAAAATTTTAAATGCTCGATTTTCAATCAAAAAGGAATTGGCGAACACTTTGCTTGAAGGAAAAAAATTTTAATCAGTTTTCAATCTCCTCCAATTTGTTCCAATGTTCTTTTCTTCCTTCGCAGAAAAACATGAGCTATTAGTATCTCACTTATAATACAGAAAGTAACAGGTCAGTCGCCATAACTTACCTCACCAATAATCACATTATTGAATGTACAAATTTACATTAATACACAGAATGATACAAATTTACTTGAGTAAGAAGTCATAAGAATTTAAAAATGTATACACAAGGCTTTTGTTTGCTGTCTCATTTTAAATATGCTTTATAAAATTGAGCTAGGCAGAATAACATCTGAGTAACCATAATGGAGGGATAAATTGATGGAAATGCACATCCCTCATCAGGTTGTAAGAATGGTCTATCCTAATGTCTACTTACGGGTAGCAAAAACTATTTTGTAATGTTTCATCCCAAATCTGAGAAATAATTGAATTTACCAGTGAGAACCTCAAATAGATTTTCATTGATGAAAACACACTTTTCTAAAGCTGACAACTCGAACATCATGTCTAAGCTTAGTTTAAAGATATTGTGGCTCATCATTTTTTTCGAAGTTTAAATTAATCGAACAACTTTTTTGAAGAGAAGTGGAAGTGCTGATAGATTCCTGTGAAATTCACACCCTCTTTCAAAAATATGCTCCTCAACTGAAGAATCATACTTAAACAAAAAGGACTCGTCAAATTAATTGTTTCCTTTCTTTTTTGCTGTTTAAAGGAATAATTTTCAAATGAAAGTGCTATTGTCCTGCTGTAAAATGTTTCACGTGGTTGCAAAAACTTGGCAGCATTATACACCAGACATCCTTCCTAAAAAGTCCTTTTGATGTACCCTTCAAATAACTTGTAGATTTTGGTTCCCGGTAGTTTCAAAATAAGAGCTATTAATTTGAACTTGACAGACCCAGCTATTCATACAAATTAAAATTGAAGATATCTTGCCTTCAGACATTTTTTTTTTACACGTTGAGTGGAGTCAGAACTAGTAACTACAGATCTGAAGCTTGAAAGAATTGACAATAGTGGCATAGTACTGATACTTAAAGAAACTTAAAAAATCAAAAACGTGAAGGATTGGAGGAAAAATGTTTGCAATTCCTGGAACAACTGCTCAGTTCACTTTCCAATATTATATAAATTAATTCAATGGATAGTAAGAAATGCGTTAATTGAAACAATGAGAAAAAAGTCTCCTCAAAATTTAATATTTGAGCAATCCAACAAGTTGATTACACATGCTATGGAAAAATGTATTATTGCTGACACTTGGAGGGTAGCAAAGTCGAAAGCATTCATACGGAAGTTACAATTTCATTCCAGTGTCATTTACAGTTTCAATTTCATGAGTTTAAAGCTATCCTCTTCCAAAATACAGAATAGATTACATCATCAACTATGTCAGTGAATTTTTTTATTCCTGACGAATTGAGCTCATAACTTAGAGAAGAAAACATTTGCCATGTCGGCTTGATTTGCAATACCAAAGAGAAGAAATGGTATTCATCGCAGATGCATGCGTAAATATTCTAGATGGTGCCACGTGCCACACATCACGTCATTAATCAAAATGCTATAAACTCCATCAATTTTGAGTGTATGTTAACATGATAAGGAGGTATCAACCGTCAAAATAAGATTCATCACACACTTCTTTCAAATCTAAAGGCAGATTCTTCAGCACCAGCTGCAACATTTATGACTTTAGCATATTGATAACAATCCATCAGCCATCAAATTAGACCTAGTACCTTAAATTATTTACAATACTTTGGTATAAGTGACAGGATGATGACTAGGACCATCAACACATAACAATCACCGAGCTAATCCTGAGCTCATGGTGAAAAATACAAAAATAAAATTAGTTCGTTCAATTCGTTCATTACTAATTTTAGTCTAGTCATGAAAAAACGAAAAAAAGACAGAAGACCACTAGAAAGGGTAGGAAGTGAAGCACTTTCAAACGTGTTTTTGCGTTGATTTTGTTAACGAAGTTTAATATAAACAGATAATTGAGAAGTTTGTATTTATGGTTTACATTATAAGTAAAGTTCACAAAAAAACCCAAAATCAACACGGATCAAATCGATCAGTGGAAGTAAATTTTGATGGAAAACGCATTGAAAAGTTGAATTTTTTACCCTGTCTAGTGGTACATTAAAACTAATGATCATAATAATAAGAAAAAAAACCCTCAGGGTATAAGTCTACAGATGACAAATTTATAAACAAGTCCTCTGACTGAGTTAGTATATTTTACATGTTATACTACTTTGTATCAACTGTACTTTGAGCATAAATAATTTGATTAGAGTTCTTTCACTTTTAATACAGAAGACAGGGTTGAATACCCTTACCCGATCAGGCAGTAATATTTTTCAGCAGAGGAATAGAAAGTGCTGTGCTTTGCACGGCACTAATTTCTTTAAGTGATACCCGCATGCCCATTCTCATGACATTTTTACAAATGTGAACCTAATAAAGTCGATTGCTGTGACTAGATTTAGAAGTAAAACAAACTCAGAGCAATACAGCAATGCTGACTAATTTAATAACGAACGAATGAGATAAATTACATTTGCCTACTTAATTTAATTTCTAAACAATAACGTATTGTCACAGGAAGAGGGAATCATCCATGAAAAATGAGAGAATGATGGCATACAACAAGAAAGGTATGCGATTACATCAGAGTTTGAACAGGGTGGCTCAAGTCTAGGAAATCCGGGGAAAAAACCAGGGAATTGCAGTAAGTAAAGTATATTGGATACTGGGAGATTTTCCGGATTACACAGAGCATGTGGAGTAAGACAGTTTTCACATGAAATGAAAAAAACCAAAGGTTCCTCCGAAAAAAAAAATCCAGGAAATCTCTGAGAGCTTAAAAGGAAGAAACTGCTGGACACCCTGTTACATGAAAGTTACACGGATCAATCCTTTCTTTTCTATTAAAGTCCGAGGAAGAGTGTAAGTCAGTGAGAAAATTAAATGTTTTGGAAGACCCACTTATTTTCTTACAAAAGTTTTTGAGGAAAAATGGAGTCAGTAATCCCTAATAGGATTTAATGAAATTATTGGTCAGGACCTATCAATGATGCTTGTCAATTGCATTCATTCGATTTGGCAGGAAAAATAAGCCTCCGCCAAGATATACTTATAAATATTGATCAAAAGACTTACATCATCCTTTGTTAAGGGGGCAAATATTAATGACAGGGAACTTGGGTTGCCGAGTCAAAGAGTAAACTTATCTAAAGAATGAATCAATTTAGTGAAATTCATTGATAATGTCCACTTAAGAAGAAGTAATTACTTGGCAATGATAATAATTAAAAACATGTTGTATTTAAGTAGTCGTACCCCTAATTATGAAATTTTAAAATAAGTATGTATTCAGCAACAAAGGTGGTAATTAAATACATTTACTGTTACTTTGGGATACAATGAGCTGCATCCACACATGTATCTTTACAAGAGCCGGGCAGTTTCAAATAAGACAAGGATTGATCCTATTGCTCGAAAAGAGAGTTTGAGGGAGGAAAAGAATAAAAGTGAAAGAGACTGTCAGAAAAATTGTTTGGAAAGAACAAAAGACTGTTGACATGCAAAAAACGGTTTGCCAGAATTAGGCGATATTTGGACATCACATCAACTGGAAAATAAAATATTTTTTACACGTAACAAAAAAAGACTAACAGGCCTCGTCTCAAGATACAAGAACTTTCTTGCGGAGCGTGCCAGTGTTCACAGAGGGACACTTGGACGCTATTGGGGAGTGTCATACGAGATGACCCTCGGTTTCCATAGACGAATACGTGAACGTCGATAAAAGTGGTGGAGGAGCACTTAAGACTGTGACATCGGGAGGATTGCCCCTGTGTGGAGGAGGAGGGATGATAGGAGGTTGAGCAAACTGTGCGGGAGGAGGATACGCTGGGTACCTTGCATCCACTGGAGCACTGTAATATGTTGAATCGCCTAAAGGCACGATACCTGAAAAATATGATGACAATTAGAAAATAGAAAAAAAATTGACAGTTTAATGGAACTTACTGAAACTTTTAATCTCTGATCTCTAAATTTGTTTGATCTTGGATCCAAAACAAAAGAGATACCATCTGTTAAGTGAAACTCATTGGGAGAAAACCTCACTTCTACTTTTCAAATTCTCTTCGTAATTTCTCTATTGGCTTTGATAACAAGAGGCAGGCAGATTTTTTCCCTTTTCATTTATTCTTCTTAAATATTAGTTGGCGTGAGTCCATAGTATTTTTCATCTGTTACTTACAGCATCCCAGAAAAAAATTTATTACAAAAAAAAAAAAATTCAAATGAAAAGTTTAAGAAGGCAGCTCCAACCTTGCGTCTATTTTTATTTTTTTTTTATTTTTTTTTCATCACTGACTGCTGCTGAGTCTTTGTGAAGAGAATTTTAAGGCCATTATAAAGGCACTGAGAACACTTTCCAGACAGAAACTTTGGAATATATGGAGTTTAAAAAAGAAAATACTTTCTAAAAAAATTTTGCTCGTGAAACTGTTGTCCTCACCTAGAGAAATTGGAACACACCCATGGAATATTACACACTTATGATCACCTGAAAAAATTTAAGTTAATAAGTACTTGCCTGATCCATTATGATTGGCGTAATTCCTATGAATTGTTCCATGGTCAGGTTCTTTCACACCATCGTATCCAGGATACTGAAATGGATAATCTATTTTTTCTATAAGATATGTACCAGCTGCAGACTTCCGGCCATCATCCTAGAGACAAAAATTGTTGTACATTAAAAACCTAATAATCTAGATTAAAAAAGAATGCATTGTTTTGTTTAGGTGAAGAAAAATTATTTATACTCCAGGGAAACTTCACATAGGCACTGATTTACATGCATTATTAGAATATGCATCTATAAGTTTTTTCGTCTTAATTTTTTATTTTTCTCTCAATTATGGGGGGTATTATGCAGGCAGATAAATAATTAACAAACAAGGTTGAAAAGAATACTTACACCGTAGTCGGCATTATTATCAGAGTAGCTTTCACTCTTTTCTGAGACACTACTTAATGTTTCTCCCGTGATGGTCTCATTGTAACTACTGGGAGCGTACATCTCTATCGTAGCAGACTTGTTACTTCCTTGCTCACTAGCACCTGTAAAATTGAAATTTCAGTTTTAGGAAAATGACAAGACGTCCTGAAGTTTTTGAACTGTTCCCTGCATGAAGAGCATTTGGAGCTTTCAAAATAGCAGAAGCTTCGATTTCCATTGAGTGTAGGGGTAGAGCTCAAATAGTCCCCTCCCCCTTTCCCAAAGTTTCATGATGGCACACCAAAATCATAATTATAGTAATTAATTTAAGTAGGATGGGGAATCCTTCGCTCCACTTTCTTTCATTATTGTGTTATTCAGTAGGGAGAACGGAGAATATTGTTTTATTCGGTGTGTGCCGAAAAGACTAATAGGTATTGAAGTTCTAAACTGCTACTACCTCCTACTTATGTATTTGTTTGGATCCCCCTCCCCCCATTCAAAGAGAAGATACGTTTTGGTTGAAACCAAGGGTAAACAGAATAAAATGGCAATATTACCTCGTTTTCGTCGTTTCTTAAAAATAAGCGCCACAACTAAACAAATATTCAAAGCCAACAAGAGTCCTGCCGTGAGCGCTATTCCAAGAGCAACCAAGAGCGGTAGATCAGCATGGCTTAAATGCTCAGGAAAACCTAAACACGATACAACGAAACGATGTTAAAACTTACCAGTCAAACGCTTCTTAGATCGTCTGTGAAGGCAGCATCCAAGAAGTAAGGCATTGAGCAGAAGCAGCACAGTCCCGACCAGGGAGCCGACCAAAAGCAAAGTCCCATCGCCAGTGTGAGCTTTCCCCAGGCTTGACAGAGAAGGAGGAGCAATACCTAACCACCACCAAAAACCACGAAGTTTAGAAACAAGGCAGGAGAACAGGTAGAGGCCAAGATCCTCTTTTCAAATTATATCCAATGTTTGTTTACAGGTCCTAACAATAATTTGAGCACCTGAATATTGGCTTTGCATTACCTATTTGTGTGCTGGAGCATATCTGAATTACTTCCTCTTGTAGCAATTTTCGATTAGATCGATAGCGGCACTATATACATTTGTTTACCTTTGATGTAGAAAACCTACACATTATCAATCAAAAAAGCTACTACATCCTATCATCTGCTCAATCCTGTAGGAGGTTTTGGCAGATGGCCTCTCATGTCCTATTAGATACCTCTGTTCTTTCCAATTATAACCACATCATCTGATGACCTAAATATAATTGTACAAGTCCTCTCCTGAAAAGATATTATCTAGTCTTTTCCATAAATTTAATGGCTTCAAATAAAAGTGAAAAATTGGAGAGGGTCTGTCAGTTTTTGCTTTGTGATGAGATTTACTACATAAAAAAGCCCCTTCATGACAGCCCATTTTCAGATGATCAGCATTGATCGTGATTAGAAAAATGTAAAATACATGAGTTTAGTGGCAATTACTTCATTTAAACGCATTTTTTACAACGGGCTGGATAGAAAATAAAAGTTTAGAGTGTTCTATTTTTCGTTTGTGGGATCCGGATTGCTTCGAGTAAGAAATTAAATAGTGGAATTTTCGTATGAAAAGGTAAATCTAGACATTGGATTGCTAATTTGAAAATGTAACCCAGGCCAAACATGCAAAACAAGATGTTGGAGGAATAAATGCCATAAAAAGAAAAGACTTAAGTGTCTTTCCTTTAATGAGTGACGTAACTTAAATTTCAGAACATGACAAAAGCGATGAGAAAGAGAAAGAATAGACACATGATAGTGGAAGATACTGATGAAAGAAGTCATGATTGCAGCAATATTTTAAACCTTCAGCTCACCCTTTTGTTGAAAGAGAACTGAAGAACATTTTTACACCATGCTTTTAAAGGATGATATAGAGGAAAAAAATGACAGTTCCAAGGTGTACTGCTGATTTGATGGAAATAGAATAAAGTAGAAAATGACGATGTCGCGGATGAAGTACATTTTCCATTTTGACCTTTACCACTGATTTGAACGGTAAAAAGCATACAATGAATTGCAGCAAAGCATAGGTACTTGCTTCTATTAAATTTAGCCTCTTGGCATGACTTCCTTTATTGTGCACTGTAAATAACTTTATCTTTTTCATAGATACTCCAAAAATAATTATACTGAGAGAACATCTTGGGATATATGCAGAATTTTTAGTACACATAGGTGAATACAGTAATGTCCCAATCATCTGATCACCAATTATCCATCACTTCTGTTATTCAATGTAGGCAAAATGGAGTTTTTGGTCCAAAAAAAGTTAGGTATCACATACGATTAAAAACCGGTTTTTTGAACAAGAATTCCCAAAACTGCCATAAAATGATTAAAAGAAACTATGATGGAAGTCCAAAATCAATATACATATAAGTAAAGATAAACATGAATGTTGTGGAATTTTCATTTTCAAGAAATAAGACTCATGCTAGGTGATAAAATCTTCCAGGTACATAAAAAAGCTTGCTATAGACACATACGCTGAACATTTATCAAAGATGATTCAATGACAGTATCAGAGGAATGAAAAATTATTGGGAATTTGTTAGGAAGGATTAGCAAATGAAATGATAGGATTTTGTAAGATGAAAATTATCAACAGACATTGACATGGAAAGGCAGATAAATTTATGATCAAAATTTGAAGATCATAAACATTCAAATCATCTCTGGAATTCGCATTTACCCTGAGATGATTCTTTAGGTCTCTCTATAAAAAAAGAAAACTGAACATGAATATTCCCAAGAAGCATTGGAAAAAGTATTTGATATCAAAATAAAAGTGAAAAAATTGAAAATGACTTACTTGAAGTGGTGGGTCTTAATATCTCTGCTGCTGGTCTACTTTCACCAAGATCATTTTTCGCTAAAATCTTGAACACATATTGCGTTCCTAGCTCTAATCCTGGAATAACTGTCTCTGTTGTATCTTTACTGGTTTCAATGTAATGCAATTGGTCAGTGGAACTAGACTGGAAACTGATTTTGTACCATGCAGGCTGGCCACCGTTGAAACCAGGTTTCCAGGACAGAGCAATTGAGTTGTAAGTGATATTTACAACGGAGAAATTATAGGGTGGGTCTGGTACCGACATGACAGAAAGCTGAATTGAAGTTGAAGCTGTGCCGAGTTCGTTTCGAGCAATGCAGTCATATTGCCCATAGTCTGATGCGTCTACATTTCGCACAGATAGAATAGACTCGTATGTTACTTCGTTGACCTGAAAAAAGCACAACGAACATTAGAAATGTGTTTTTGAAACTTCACGATGATATTTTAATTTTCTAAAAGTAAGCAAATATGTTTAGAACTATTTGTTTGGATATAAATTATTACTATGCGAGATAAGTATGATTAGTATTTATTTTTGATCTCAGTTACCTAAATGTAAGTAAAACAACAAAATTGAAATTAAAGTGGAAACTTTTGACTTCGATAAACATTGAACTGGAATATGTAGTGCTGCTCAGTTTATGGCATTTACCAGGAATGAAAAAAGTTGGGAAATCACACTGATAGAGTAAGTGACATACCTTAATAAATTCTGAAGCGTACTTCCCCGTTGTATTCACAGGTAACTTTGTTTTATCCTTAGTCCAATGAAAGGATAATTTGGGAGCTCCAGATCCACGACAAATTAGTTTGGCTGTGTTGCCAACATTAGCAGCTGATTTTGCCAGAGAAGGTCGAACATCCATCTCAGGTTTATCTGTTGAAGGACAAGGTTTCACATTAATTATTGTCTAATGCTTTTGCTCATATTAGTAAAAAAGAGTGTACTTCTAATGGATGGTCAAAGTTTAAGATAGGTTGATGATAAATCAAAAGAAAAAAGTCAGAAAATTATTCAGAAAAAACAAGTCAACATTAATTTCAATATGTGTCAGTATGTATGTCCTTATGCACATTAAGAGGGAAAAAAATAAAAATGAAAGAATGAATAAATGAAAAAGGATTTATTCACTTACGTTTCACGACTAAAAATACTGCTCTGGAGCTGTCATTTCCAAAACCATTATTAGCTACACACTCAAATGCTCCCATGTCTTGAACTGAAATATTTCTGACAGTCAAGAAGGATGTGTTGTTGTTAAATGCCTCGACACTCCTTTCTTTGTTGAATCCAGATTTTCGCCAAACAATATTGTCCATACTCAATGGGTTACCATCAACTTTGCACCATAACTCAGCCTCTTCTCCTGGAGAGACCATGATATTCTCCGAGACAGCAGTAATATTGGCGGGATCTATAAGAGGGAAATTTTTTTTTAGAGGAAAGCACTTGAGTATCATCTGTTGAATTTATTTAAAATTTCCACATATAAGAAAGGAGGAACAAGGGCATACATGTATTGCAGAGAACGAAGCGATCACTGCTATTAATAGGAAAGTGACTATGTAGTGTGTTTCGAAATAAGTTTACTGTAAGGTAATGCCTCCATAACTTAGGCAATATACTCCTGTATGGTGAATTTACTTACAATTATTGATCTTTTTCTCTCTTTGATTCTATCTAGCCTTCTGGATTTTTTCCTTTCTTCTAGCGAATTCATCTTTTTCTCTCTTTGATTCTATCTAATCTTTTGGATTTTTTCATTTTTCCTGTTCTTCTTATAGTTAGTTAATTAGTTAATTTTATGGCACTCATAGCTGCTGCGGCTATTTAATATCTTTGTGGAAAAATACTTCATGTTACAGAGAAATAATTTAGGTTTTTAGCTTAATTAAAGTAAAAATGTAAAAATCTTGTTTGTCACGTGAGGGTCATTGGAGGTCAATGGATGAAAGTGTTTCAAGACGTTTTAGTCAATAAATTGTCTGTTACACACACAGCTTCCATGAATCAAAAAGTACTCACACTGAACAGATATATTGAATGTTAGGGATGTTGAGCCTTCACTGTTGGTGGCAGTGACCGTATAGAGCCCAGTGTCTGAGCGCCTCAATTTGGTGATATTTAGAACAGGTCCATCCACATACTTAGATTTGAGCGTTGCCTTGTTTTTCGTCCACACATATGATATGCTGGAGGGTCTTCCACGGGCATGCAGAGCAATCAGCAGAGGTTCGCCTTCGATGCCCATTTGATCACCACCTTCCAGCTCAGTAAAGACTGGTTTGTCTGAAAAATCAGAATCAATTCTTATTTAATTCTTGATTTTCGTTTTAAAAAATTTAAACCAATGCCGCCTTTTCAAGTAGACAAGGAGAAAGGGAATGAACAATTTTTTTGTTTTCCAATATCTTTCAATCAAGTTAAATGTTGAGATGACAGAATTTAACTCATAACAAGAGCATCCTAGGTGTTTATACTCACTTGTGTGTACATGACTTTGAAATTTTGTGGACATTTCCTGTAATCAATACTTGAGTATTATACCTTCAGTACCACACAACAAGTACAATATCTTCCTAAGAATAAAATATTGCGAATTGGTCAACACCTGCTACAGCGTAGATTTTAGTTATTTTAAACAAACCTCCTTCCATTAGGCCCAAAAATTTTTTGAAAAAGTAATTTCAATAAAGAAAATTCCCTGTACAAATAAAAAGCATTATGATTCAATATTTGAACGTGATGGAAAAACTTACAAAGGACTTTTAATTTGATTAGAGCATGAACACTCCTCAGAAGAGCAGTGTTGGTGGCTTGGCATGTGAACTCTTTTCCATCCATATCTGATGTTACATTCAGAGTAAGTTGAATGGATGAAGTGGTACCACCATAAAGACGCAGCGGTTTTGTACTCTTAGTGACTCCAGATTGGACGAGAGTATTGTCTAGCCACCAGCTAAGCTCTGCTGGTGGATTACTTGAGCTCCCATCGCATGTTAGAGTGGCTTTGGTGTCGCTGCGGAGATTATCTGGCTCAACTTTGATCAAAACATGCTCAGGAGGGACTGTAATAAAATAACAGATAAGAAAAAAAAATTAAACATATTATTAACCACAATTTATGCCATCAAAAAAGCATTGGGTCTCGGTAAAATCTGACAGGTGATTGTTCCATGAAAACCACCCTAGTATTATCTTGTGCAGACTGAAAGTTCATTGCGGTTTATTCCAAATTAAAGTTGTTTATTAAAGTTTATTCCAAATTAAAGTTGTTTATTAAAGTTTATTCCAAATTTTGGCCCAAGAGTCTACAAGTGCATGTTAATCTGTTTAAGTTACAGTCAAAGAAAAGTAAATCATTTAAGCTTTAAAATTAAATGTTTTGAACTTAACTTTTTGGACATTTTCTTTTGGGAGGGGGTGTCAGAGTGTCTAGAAAACTATCTTTGATGCACAAATTTTAAGATCCCATTCATTTTAAGGGACACTAAAATTTTACAGCAAATGAGACATCACATTCAGTTTCGACGAGTTCTGAAGAATTTTTTAGTTTTCGCAGAGCAATATCTGGATACAATTAGTAGTCATTGAAATTTGGTAAAAACAAAGGACAGACTAGGACTGAAAAAGTGACCACGAATACCGGCATATCAGTACTTCAACCCATTTAAGTTGTTTTTTAGCTGTGGGAAGAAGACAAACTGGTCTGAATTCACCCGTTATATTGACTGGCCTACCGGGATTTTTCCAATTGTTTCTCCCTGTCTGTCCACCTCTTGTTAAAACAACTAATTAATAGATCAAATTTTACTCATGACTTCATGTACCTGACTAACAAGCAAGAAAAAAACCAACTATGGAAACGAGCGCTGAGGTACAATGTAGATACTTACAATAGACACTCAGTTTGACAGTCTCAAATAAAGGAATGTCTGTGGCAGAATTTGAGGCAGAGCATTTGTAAATAGCTTCATTGTCAGATGCATTGACAAAAATACTGATATCTGAGGAGACCTGGGCTGGTGGATTCACAGAGTTCGAAACTGCGTTACTTGAAGTGGAAATCTAAAATCAAGTGAAATAAATTATGACATTTAGTAGAAAATTTGACAAAAAATAAGGAGACAGATCTGACTGGTTCTAATAAAATGCACTCACAAAAGAGTCTTGTTTGAATCAGTTTGAGAACAAAAGAATGAAAGAGCAAAAAACCAGAGGTCCTTATGTGAAAAAGGTGGGTCTAAAACAAATGACTCAAAATGGACCAAGTAGATACAACAATTTGCAGCACATATCAGAAAATCTCTTGACAGGGTATTTTTTGAGAAATGACTGGGGGAATCTTAATTGCTGACTGAATTCAAAAATGTTTTTAGCTCCTTGTCCCTTGACGACTGGTGTGAGTTAGTGAGACAGTTTTGAAAAATGTTGAATTAATTAATTTTCATAAGTTTTTTCAAAAGTTAATTTCCTTTCAATTGATGAAAATGAAAATTAATAAAAGGATGAAACTATACAATACCTTGACATCATTTTTGTACCAAGTGAGTGTTGGAACAGGGTTGCCTCCCATGGAAGAGCATGACATCTTCTGAATTTTCCCTGCATGAATTGGCACATCTGATGAATATCCACTGATTTGGGGGACACCAGGTGGATCTGGAAATCCAAAAATATTCAAATTAAATGAGAGGTGAAGACAAAGGAATTTTTTAACAGGTTAAAAATAAGAGAGATTCCTCAAGATTTAATGTCACACTCCCTTAGCTGGTCTGTATATAACTTAAATAGACAAAACACATAAACTATTGCTAATTTTTTTGACAAGCTTTTTTTTTTGGACAAACATTTATTAAACTTCTTTCTTTGTCATTAAATTTTTCAATTTTGACAATTTTTTCAAAGTGGGGATTGAAATTTCATGTCAAAGCTTGCATACGCACTCTTATGGAGGAGAATAACGGAATTCTCTTGCCAACTGAAGCAAGTCTCAGGTTGTCTACCGGGCTTTTACTGCCACAGTAAGCGCGAGTGTACAGACCTTTCAAAGGCGTACCTAACAACACTTTTGTTTAAAATTTCTGTTGAATTTTTAAAATTTAAGTTCCTTAAGAAAGCAAAAATTCTTTGAGCAAAGATGAACAGATACTGATCACTTACATAGAACATTGATTTTATGAGCCCCGATGGTCGGTTGAGCAACTTTGTGATTGGAGGCATGGCAAAAAACACTTAGTGCTCTTTCTGATGTGATGTTTACGGTAATGTTGGATGAAGTGATCCATCCGCCCTCAGGGGCAGTTACAGTTCTGTTGAAACCATGGAGAACTTTTCTACCATTTATAGTCCAATGAATAAAAGAGGGAGGGTTGCTTGGGCTTGTTAAGCACGAAAGCTGCACTGAATCATTCACTTTCGCCTCTGTAGCACCAGATATTGTTACGCGCACAGGAGAATCTAGAAAAAAAAAAGCAGATTATTGATATTGATACCTGAACCGTTATGTAGGTATTACTTCACACCAGAGTGATACATCTGTTACAAAACTGATTTGAATATTTTTGTGAGCTCCACGCAACACGCCTATCATACAGAAAAATTATGAAACTCTTTGCATCAGCACTCTTACTACACTTACCTACTTAAGTTACGTTAATGAAAAAATTCTACATATTTAAATAGCTTCACGACACACAGAGGCTTAGTAGGAGTATGATAATGCAACATATCTGTAAATATATTGAGTTTGCAATAAAGCAAATAGGTTTTCTAATCAATGCAGAACCTGCAGAACCCAAACAATGGTCCCTTTGTAAATGCTGCATATAGAAATAGAGAAAGCTTTTTGATAAAATATGATTCAATTAGTCTTTAAGCAGTAAGCAGCTGAGACAACAGTTGCACTACCTGAATTAGATATTTATTCATACTAAGGAATCTAATTTTACTTACAGTATACAGTCAGAACAACTTCGGTGGTAAGAGCGCGTTCACTCATGATGTTTTTGGCGTCGCATCGATAGGTCGCATTATTATCACTTTCTTGAGCTGTTATTGTGTAGACACTTTCAGACATACGACCGCTTGTTCTGAAACAAACATTAATACATCAACATTTTAAATTTTATAATTTAAGCTCGGTAGATTGAAAGAAAATTGCCAAAATTTAATACCTTGCTTGGATTTTAAGCATTAATTTAAAAATCTAATTTACAGCTTGAGCTTGAAAGCATGACACAAATAAAATTATGCTTTTTAATAAAACAGGAGAAAAAATGATACTTTGACCATCAGCTAAGCGATAGTTATAAGTAAGTTACATGCCATAGTTACGAGCGATAGTTAGGCTATGAGTTTCTCGTCAAAAAATACCACTGTCTACCAAATTTCATAAAACTCGATCGTTTTTTCTCTTTCTTTCTTTTTTCTTTTCTTTTCTTTTCTAAATTTTTCTAAATCGATCGAGTAGGAGCCGCATATCGTATCATCAATACAGCTCTACACCTCTCCTCTACACAGTCGTAAACAATACGAGTCAAGTTACACACATTAAAACGCCTTCATTTTCGTCTGATACAGTGCAATACTTCCGAGCTGGAATAGTTGCTCAGAGCGCCTTCGAGAGTATCGCTTCGACTTGATGGCAGAAAATCGCGACTGCTGCTGATACTACACTCCGGCGCTTGCGCAGTTACACGTTTTCTCATCATGGACGGAGAGGTAAAAAACATTAATACCTCAATTTGCGACGTTGCAAGTTTATAAAACCTCACGTGTTAGGAGTGTGTGGTACAGCTTTTGATACGGAACTTGATACCTAACCTTCGAATGGATGCTGGAAAGCAGCACTGTTTTGGGGGCAAGAAAAAACGAGAAAAAGAATATAATAATCACCTGTACATGTTGTAAATTTGGCCACCATTTTTATACCAAATCAGTTGAGCGGGAGGGTTCCCTCCGTGGGATTTACAGATTAAGTCTATAGATTGTCCTCGTTGGATAGTATCGCCGGTTTTGAATCCTTCAATGTATGGCAAGCCGGGCGGATCTGGAAAATGAGGAAAAAACCGCACTTTTAGTCCGGAGAGGCGAGCCTAGTTGAGTCATAACAGGAATTTCAGAGACACCGAGAGTAGGGTGTCCCACTTTGAGGATCACCTCTGAATTTTGATGATGGTACCCCCTAAATCGTTGACCCCACTTAAGAAAATAGGTATTCAGTCAAGAAAAAATTCACAAAAATTTTTAAAGGGTTGCGCAAGGCCGAAAACCACCCCTCGGCCTTGGGAAAAATTCTTCATTTTGCCTATTTTGACGATTTTTTTCCAATGATAAAACTGAGCTGGAGCTTCACCAATTTGATGATAAGAACATAGATTATTCGATTATTTTTACATCGATTTATTTAGATAGATAGATAATAGGTAGATAGATAGATAATAGGTAGATAGATCGATACGTAGATAGGTAAATAGATAGGTGGATAGATAAAGAGATAGATACTAGATAGATAGATAGGTAGATAGATAGGTAGATAAATAGATAGATAGAGAGATAGATAGATAGATAGATACAGTAGCCGCTCGATAGTTCGAAGTTGGAGGGACCAAGGATTTTCTTCGAAATAACGAGTTTTCGAATTGGCGAGATTTGTAGATAAATAGATAGAAAGATATACAGATAGATAACAGTTTTCGTTTAATGTAACAAGACAAATTTTACAAGGTTCGATAACATTTAAAACTAGAGAACGTAAATCCACGGTACAAAGGCCGTCAGAAGGATTCCTACGTTGAGGATTCATTTGACTACATTTGGGAATGTGGAACTATAAATTCTAGCCCGGTTAAAAAACAAAGTATGCGCCATTAGTTTCCCTATGCACATAAGTGTTTTTTCAGAAGAGCCAGAATTTATAGTTCCAAATTGCAAAATGCAGTCCAATTTGCATTCCCTATCGCGTATTTCCTATTGTAATTCTCCGCTAACACCTAAATCGATGGATTTATTTAAGCAGTCAAGTAAAACGCGACCACATCGATAATCGAGATCTGTTTTTCTCCACCCACACCGTCAATTACTTGAACAGCGGTTCAGAGTACAAAAAAAAACCCCGAGTTGACTAGCGGGGGTGGTGAGATTAAGCGTGCGCCTTATCTTGTGGCAAAGGGATGCACTTACAAAGAACGCTGAGTTGAACGGTGGCTCTGAATGGAATGTCCTGCATGAGAGCTTCGTGCCTTGCCTCACAGGCATAATCAACTCTGTCATCTTCTGCCGTTGGCACGATCCTGATTCGGCTCCACGTCGTCATCCTTTTGCCCCGGGCATCCGCCTCGACCCTCTCTTCTTTCCGATCTCCTGATCAAAGCAAAACAAAAATGCGTTTTAACATAGAGACTTAGTGCAACTGAGGAAGATGGGAACATTAAAAGGCAAACCATGCAAAGTTATGAGATCGGTAGTGCCGTTCTAGGGAGGAACGCCGCACAGGGTGGCATGAAACGTGAGAAAGAAATGAAAGATTGGAAATTTCAGCGAAATATTTCATAAAATTTCATGAGGCTGTGAAATATTTCATATTTTTCAGGGGCTACACTGAAACAAAACTCTCGGTGTATTTACTAAGAAAAGGGTAAAATTACCCAGAATTCAGGGTTCTATTTGATCCCAGTTTTTTTCTTGGTAAAATTACCATTCACGGAATCGGTAATTTTACCGAGAAATCTCGGTAAAATTATTGAACTTTCTCGGTAATTTAACTGGACCTTGGTAAAAACGCCGATATTTTTTATCGACCGTGGTAGAATTACCGAGATAAAATGGCAGAGTTACCGAGAATTGATTACCAATAAAAGTGGTATTCTTACCTGGGAAAAACAGTAAAAATACCGATTTTTAGGTAAGCTTACCAGTCTGTCTTCGGTAATATTACCAATAATTGGTGAAAAAGGTGAGATGGTAAAGGTACCATCGGACCTTGGTAAAAACGCCGAGAATTTTTTTTCAGTGTGGGAACATTAAAAGGTGAACCATGCAAAGTTATGAGATCTATAGTGCCGTTCTAGGGAGGAACGCCGCACAGGGTGGCATGAAACGTGAGAAAGAAATGAAAGATTGGAAATTTCAGCGAAATATTTCATGAAAAATCATGAGGCTGTGAAATATTTCATATTTTTTAGGGGCTAGAGTTTGCAACCCGCACTAAAACACACAAAAATAGAAGAAAGTCACAATTTTTACATTTTGCGAAACATGAAAAGGAACCGGTATTTTTCAATATCTTTCATAAGTTTCTGAAATTGCATGAAATATTTCACGTGAAATTTCGAGATTTTATTTTTCATGAAATATTGCCACCCTGACGCCGCACAGTGGACCGCGAGCCAATAGGAGAGGTCGGACATGATTTTAAAACTTTAAAAGCATATATCTTCCTTAATATGAGATGTTGACGTTTTAGAAGTAATTTCATTGGTTTTCTCGTATAATTTCCAATAATAAACACCCCCTGAAATTAAAATTGTGTCGAAATGGACGTAAAATTGTACAATTTTTTCCAAAAATTTCATGGTCGACTTCTTCCAAAGACTCGTTCCACCGAGCGCCGTATGAGCCTTCAGACGTTTCCTTCGAGACAATGTTTATTTTCGAGGGGAGATATGAATATTATACCTTGAAACTTTCGGATGATTTTGATCTGATCGCAAATCAAATTCTTTGAAAATTCAACAGAAAATATTAATAGATTTCCCTTCCTGTTGTGTGAATCGTTTTCGATGTAAGATGCTGAAGAGAAAACACGTACAGTTTTCTACTACTTCAGACTTTACTCAGTGGTCCATTGCCCACTATGAACTGGAACAAAAGTTTTGAAAAAAAGCGGAAAAAACCTAAAACACAAACATGAGCGCGCATTTTTCAGGCTCTTTCGTCCGAAAACATCAATTCGAGGTAAAGAGAAATCCGATGCCTACGCCCAACACCAGTCACCTTTCGTTGTCTCTTCACGCTCACGCGACAGCCATCAAATAATGGAGATGTTGTGTGTGTGAGGAATTTGCGATTTGACTGTTGATTCTTGTGTAAAAGTTCGCGAGAAACACGATGGTCTCACTGGTTTTCTCTGAAATCCATTCCCACGCTCAAAAAAAGCTCTCAAGTTGAGGCCAAAATGAAGGGGATATCCCACGCTATCCTGAGAGTCCACCTCTACACCAAGACGAACTCTTCATGCAAAGATAGGGAGCAAGAACATTAGCAGTGATGCCGTGTTTTCAATTTTAGAGTCCCCAAATAAAGTGGCAGCCCTGTTAATGTATTTGCCCCCTATCTTTGCATGGAGAGTTTGTCTTAATGTAGACGTGGACTCTCAAAAAAAGCTCTCAAGTTGAGGCCAAAATGGAGGGGATATCCCACGCTATCCTGAGAGTCCACCTCTACATCAAGACGAACGAAGAGGGGTAGCGTGGGATATTCCCTCCATTTTGGCCTCAACTTCAGAGCTTTTTCTGAGCTTGGGTGTTGATTTCAAAGAAAACCAGTGGCTCCATCGTGTTTCTCGCGAACTTTTACATACGTGACAATAGTCAAATCGCATATTCCTCACACACGCAACATCTCCATTCTGCGGCGGTGTACCTGTAATCCACGACCAGCCGGTGAACTGTGATGCCCAGCGGCCGGCGCACAATGGCTCCGATACCAATCCGCGATCGGTTTTTAGCCGCAGCGCGGAAATTGGAGCATTAATTTGTCATTAGCCAGGCCGCCGCGCCTTTCCGCGACAAGCCGAACGAACGAAATGACGCGCGAAACACAAAATTAGAGCTTGTTTTAATTAATGATTCGTTACAGAGGAAGGAATCAGCGTAACGCCCCCCACCCTCCCGAACAAATGATACCGATAACAGAAAGAGTGACGCGACAGCGTCACACGAGGCGTGCGGGGGCGGGGGTGGGGGGTCGGCAGCAAAAACTGACGTAAGTCACGACACGTAGGAATCGAATATTTTATTAATGACCGGTGACTCTGTTGTGCGCTGGAGCTTTTGAAGTGAGCCCGGACTGAAAATATCAATTAGTTTGGGCGCTATACCTGCAGCCGGATCAATTAATTATTGTTCCGTTGGCTGATACAAGGGACAAGGGTCTGCGCGAGGAGTGCCAGACAGGGGGTCCGGGGCGGGAGGTAAATATGTAAAATGAACTTTGTACAAATCACGGGCGGCCATGGTAATTCAACAGTTCCAACCCCGTTGCCGAACTTTTCCTCCCCTTTCGCCCCGATTCCGTATCGATGGTGAAAGTCTCAAACCGCGTATCTCGCTTTACGACGTTGCAGACTCCCTATCATACTTTGTTTTTTAAATGTAGAGTTACTCGACGACAATTCTTGAGACCTTCCGTGACTTTTCTGCCCTACGTGAAACAAAATGTGGGCGATCTTCAAGGAATGATGTTGATCTGTTCTCCTTTCAAAAAAAATAAAATAGGTGTGAACATTTTTAAACACCGCAAACGAGATACGTGGTTTGGTAGTTTCATCATCGATGTAGTTTGTGGCACACTGGGAAAAAAACACATTGGATCTAGAGTCCAGACTCTTGAAAACATTGACAAGAAAAAATACTCCTGATTCAATCGGATTTTTACTTGAAACAAAACGAAATCCGCTTAAATTAAGAGGCTTGGTTCTTGATTTAAGCTAGATTCTGATTGAATCAAGAATAATTTTTCTTGTCGATGTTGCTAAGAGTCTGGACTCTAGATCCAATGTGTTTTTTTCCCAGTGCTGTTATCATTGTCTTGGGCTGCTCTTAAAAATTTGTTTCAATTTCAATTATCGGCCCGCAGGCATGACAAAGCAGCGATGTGACATACCCGACCAATCACACCACGCCATTGAACCTATGTCATCTAGTTATCTATGTCCGCCCGATAAACACAATATTTCAATAATCGGCTTGCAGATTTGACCAGAATGAAGAACCTGCCGAAGGACCCTGCGACTGAAAGCGTTAGAAACATTGGGGTACGCGACTTCACGTAAAAGTTGATCGTAAACTGGGTCAGCACTCCTTCCGTCGGATTCGCCGGAGAAAACGACCGGACCGGACCGCACACCACCGCTTTGAGGGTCGTACAATTAAACACGCGGACGCCGGAGAGGAGGGTGGGGGCCCGGGGGGGGGCAGGGGTCGCAGTGCTGATGGAAGTTTAATCGATGGGGGCGCGGGGGCCGAAGATCTCCCCGGGGGGTCGGGGGCGTCGGAGTCGAGAGGGAAAAAAAAATGGAATATTTTATCAATTAAAACAATGTTACGGGCCGGATGAATGATGGCCCGGGCCCGGGAGAAAGAACGAAACGGCCCCGCAGCACTCGGGCTCGTTTCCGCAAACTGATTGAATCGAATTACCGGTGCCCGAGCGGCAAAAACCATTGGAAATGTCTGCTAATCTCCAGTTGAGGATCTGACCCCCCCCCCCCCCCCCCNGGAACCGGGAGCTGCACCGATATAAATCACGTTACCAGTGACCAAGTGATTGTTTGCGTTCCGTGAAATACCGGTGCGCGGTGCGGTGTGTTCGGCTCGGATCGCTGGCGCGAAATACTCGCGTGCACCGTTTCTTACGCTCGTTTCGCGTTTCTTTGGATACGTCTGGCTCTTGTTCCATCGAGAACAGCCGTCGTCGGGGATGGTTTTTGTACTTAATGCGCGAGTTTCGGAATCGTGTTGTGGTGGTTAAATCCTGGGGATTAGCAACAAATGGCGCAACCTGTTCGTACGTCAGTCGCTGCGTTTAATTTTGACCCGCGGGGTTGTTAGAGAGGAGATGTACTAATTATTCTGCCGCGCTAAGGAAGAACGCCGTATGAATATTCGAGAGTTGCCAAATCTCCTTCGATAAAATGATTATTTTTAAGGAAAATTATGAATGTTTTTCCTTGAAATTTTCAGGAGCTTTAGATGAAATTGCGAACAAAATTATCAGAAAAATTGGAAGGAATATATTCATAAGTATGTCAGGAAATTTGTGTTCTATCACAGGCCATTTGACAACGCCTGAAGGTCACCATACTGCCGTGCTAAGGAAAAACGCCGTATAAGCCTTCAGATGTTGCAAAATTTCCTTTGACAAATCACGAATTTTCCGGAATATTCATAATGGATTTCTTCTAGTTTTTTATTTTTTATTTTTTGAAAATTACATTCGTGATTTGATCTAAAACATCTGAAAATTTTAAGAAAAAAAATGCATATCTTCCCTCAAAAATTAATATTTTCAAGAAAATTTGGCCAAATTCGAATGCTTATACGACGTTTTCAATTAGCAGAGCTGACTAGTTGCACTATCGA